TCTGCTATTGAAAAAAAATAATAACCAGCTTGACAATCTTTATGCAGAGAGGCATATTTTGGGGGTCACAAGTTCTGCTCCCCTTCATGGCTTATTGGTCTAACTGGAAAGATCAAAAAATTCTACAAATAGCTCCTAGATTTTCCTGCTTAGGAAGTTAAAATTCAAGAGAAACAATTTAGGAGTTATAGATTTGGAAATACTTTTTAAGGAATATTTAAAACTATTCAAGTTTAGATTTCCTCCTAGGGAAAGAAAATAAGTATATTAAAAGAAGAGATTGAGAATAGAACCTTGAGAAATCTATTCATAAGTGACAATAATAGGAAGAAATGCAAGTGAAGGAGAAGGTAGAATGATCAGGGAAGGAAGAAACAATGGATAACCAAAGTGGAGAGATTTTCAGTAGAGAGGAGGAAGATAACAGAATCAGTGTGCAGAGAGACATCAAAGAATAAGAACTAAGGGCAACTCATCGCTGCAGCTCTAGGGATCTGCCACTGACCTGGGAAAGAGGTGTTTAGTACCTAGAAGGAAATTATAGTCAGATTAGAAGATGAAGGGAAGTGGGCAGTGAAATGAAGGCAGGGAAAAGCCATCCTGAGAGAGTCAAGAGAAAGTTTTTCTTTGAAACTCATCAAGCTTCTTCTTCTACAGTTGAAGGAAGAAAGATTTGATGAATTTCAGGGCAGAAATCAAAGACTGTCACAGCGTACAATATGGGCATGGGGCAGGACTTGAGAAGAGGTACAAAAGAGCAAAAGCACATGGTGCAAGAGAAATGAAAGGATGGGATGGGACTTCCTTGGTGGTCCAGTGGTTAAGAATCTGCCTTGCAATGTGGGGGATGCAGGTTTGATCCCGAGTCAGGGAATTAAGATCCTACATGTCCTACATGTTGTGGAACAACTAAGCTCTCATGCCATAACTACTGAGCCCACAACCAGAGAGTCTGCACCGCAGGAAAGATCCCACATGACACAATAATCATGCATGCCACAACCAAGACTCAACACAACCAAATAAACATTGAAAAAAGAAAAAAAGAAGAAATAAAATAAAGGAATGAAGTGTACAGATGCTTCTTCCTCTGAAAAAGGGAGAGATTTTTTAGCTAAGATAAAAGATCAGGTCCTCTGCCAAGAAGTGTGTGTGTGTGTGTGTGTGTGTGTGTGTGTGTGTGTTTAAAGTTTGGAGTGTTTGTAGGAAAGATGAAAAGGTGCACTCAAGGTCCAGTTGAAGTTAAATAAATTTAATTTGTATTTGACTAGAGAGTCACAGAACTGTGATTTTTTTCCCTAGTGATGTAATGAAACTTACTGGATTTTGAGTAGAAAAAGATAGGGAGGAAGTACTTAGGAGATTAATAAGAATGCTTTCTCTATGTATTAAAAGATATGAAAAAAAATCCCAACATCAGTGCTTTCAGCATTCCACCTTCTTCATGATCACAAATCAGATGGCAAGAAATAATCATAAGCACTTGATTGGAATTGGATCATTAGTTCAGTAACCATTCTAAAATTGGTGTGAGTGTGAAAGTTCTCATCTCAGGGGAGAAATAATCCCTGTCATCAACTTTCTATAAAAGTAATTTTGACACCTCCTCAAATACAGTAAGTATTCCAAGTGATTTATTATCTGTCATAACAGATTCAGGCTCAAACTCTGGATACACCTTACTCAATGTCAATCTGATCTGTAGAAGATAAGCGGGGCTCTTGAGGTTTCATGGTCAGGGAGGGAGAAAATCAGGAAGGGGGGAGTTAACTACAAATATTGCAAAATTTATTTCTCATTGCTCCAGGGCCTACTGCTATAGCATGCTTGAATAGAAGTTCAAAAAGTAGTGTCACTAAGAGCATCACAGTAAATGAGGAAAAAAGACATACACAGGGTCCTCTCTGACAGATTTGGGGCACATCAGTCTTTAAACTCTCAGAGATTTCATTCTGAAATCTTCAGAAGCTTCCATTCCAATGCTTACCTGTTTCACCCGATGAGGCTTTACTAAAAATAAGAAGAAGAATTAAAGTTGCTTTCATAAGAATATTGATGCCTATAGTGACCTTAGAGTGGTTACAGAAATAATCACCTGTTTTTTCCACTAACTAGGAACCAAGAGTGTTCTGTTACAAGTATCCACTCCATCCGTTCCCTTTTTTAGTAGATATAGCCCTTTTGAGGGGAAGGTGACATTCTAAAATGAGAAAATAATCTAGAAAGAAATGAAAGTCATTTGCCTGGCAGATCTTAGGGATTTTTCCTGATATGTGGCCTTGCTTAATTAGGCTAAGCCTAATTGAGAAAGAGGGGATTTTACAAGGGCTTCCCTGGTGGCTCAGGTAAAGAATCTGTCTGCAATCCAGGAGATTCAGGTACAAAGATTTTGTATGTTAAAATAGCTAAAGAATACCACCAGAATCCCCCTCTCCAATTCTTTCGTCGTCTCATTATTATGGAAATCCATATAATGCAAAGGATTATGAGCAAAGATTTGCAATCTTAACTTTTCCAATGGCCTCCTCTCATCTTTCCAAGACTTACTCCAACTCAGTTCAATTCAGTCGCTCAGTCATGTTTGACTGTTTGCAACCCCATGGACTGCAGTTCGCCAGGCCTCCCGGTCCATCACCAATGCCTAGAGTTTACTCAAACTCATGTCCATTGAGTCGGTGATGCCATCCAGCCATCTCATCCTCTGTTGTCCCCTTCTCCTCCCACCTTCAATCTTTCCCAGCATCAGGGTCTTTTCAAATGAGTCAGTTCTTCACATCAGGTGGCCAAAGTTGGAGTTTCAGCTTCAACATCAGTCCTTCCAATGAACACTCAGGACTGATCTTGTGTTTCTTTAATATTCTTTAAAATGTATTTGGAAAACATGGAGAAAACACAAAAAGTTAAAATCTATTATGACTGCAACATTTAAATTTTAGTTCTATAATGATATTAAGAACTTCCAATACTTTATAGCCGGCAGCAATCACAATTAACTAGCCAAAGTGTTAGTAAGAACGTAGGGAGAATGCTAACACTGATTCAAATTTAGAAATGCTATATTCCAAATACTAGCTATATTAGAGTGCAGTCCCCTAATTACTAATGAAATTAATAAATTGTAAGCAATTGAGTTTATATCACCTTTTCTCAAATTTCAGCTACTTTATCTGAAAAATGAAAAAATACTCCTCCACAGGGTTATTTTGAAACTCTTATGAAATAATGTTTATGAGAGAAATATTAAAGTGCACACATATGATAAAAGCAAGATATTTGTTGAATATTTATATAGTAGCAATGACTATTTGAAAAAAAATGAAATTAGATAAATAGTGCCATTTACAATTGTATCAAAATGTATAAAATTCTCATGGATAAACCCAACAGAATATGTGTGACAATATGTAAAATGTGTATGCCTCAAACTGCAAAATATTGTTGAGCTTAATCTGGCTTCATATTAGCATCTTCTGGGGATGTTAAAACTTTAATCCTAACTTCAAAATTAAAGTTTCCTGACTTTTGCCTGGTTCTCTTAAATGAAAATCTTTAACAATGGAGCCTGGGAATCCTCATTTTGCCAGAGTTTGCAGGTGATTCTCCTGCACTCAGGTCTGTATTCAGGTACTGCATTCAGGTACATTTCTAAACTAAAGTGAAGTTATTTTTTCTACTAGTTTGAAAGAGGCTTTTACTTCCTCTTTCTTCCCGTGAAGTACCTTTTCAATATGCTTCTTATTCTCCAAAGCATCTAGCAGATACCTTTATCCAATAAATAAATATTGATTTGAATAGAATGTTTTCACAGTAAGAACCAGTGAAAGGGTAGGAACTAAGAAGGTATTTGGAAGATCTTGGTTTTCAATAGTGCTCTACTTTTTATCATGCTAAAATTATACTTTGGAATCCGAGTCTCACAAACTTGTTGGGAGTGGCGACGTGAAAGCTACTGTGCATAGAATCAGACTGTTACCAGCCCAGCCTCTGGTGATGAGTAGAGAGGTGTCTGGGAAGAGGTAAAAGACTGCATGCATAGCAGTCTCACCGAGTTAATCATCATTAATGGTTTGAGGGAAGAATAAACGGGAGTGGGAGAAAATGGAATTCACAATGGAATGGGCTCTGAAGGGGCCTCATAAGAAAACACACATGGGCAATCTGCTTTCAGTTGATAGACAATTTTCAAAGGCTTCATATCTTGAATTCTTTCAAGTTTCTCACAACAGGTAGGGATGAAGGGTTTAAAGGGCATTAAAAAAGGGTCAAGAAAACTTGCCTCTCTTCCTTGTTCTGCTGCTATCTAATTTTGACTATTTGATTTTATCGCTTTTCCCCTTATTTTCCTGCTCCAGAGAATGAATGGAATTATTAACATATCATCTTTAAGTTCCTTTATTTCGCGCCCCCCCACACACAAAAAAAACCTATGCTTCAAAAAATTTTGGTATTCATACTGAATGCGTGGTACATGAAACAGATTCAGGTGAATAAGAAATTTGTCACTGAGCTTTAGAAAATGGACACCAAATCCTTAAGGAATTCTTTTAACTTCAGTAAGTATAAGCGTTACTGAGAGGGAGGGAAGGAGAGAGAAAGAGAAATAGAGAGAATACACAGCAAGACACAGAAGGGCACAAAAGGGGTGAAGGGAGAAGGCAAGAGAGAGGACAGAGCCCCGGAGAGAAAGAGGCCAAGGGAGACAAAATTCAACTCTGGATCGTGTGCCAAAAACAATCTATCATAACACTGATGGCATCATGGTAGCGATAATCTGTACTGTGGCACCAAGAAAGACATAGTATAAGGTAAACTTTGAGAAGCTTGAAAACTGAGGCAGACAGTTGAACAAGAAGGAGGAATTTATTGCTGTTCACGCTGCACTGACTGATGTATTTATTCCCTTTTCCGTATCTCTTTTAGCTTGCATATTGGGACCTGTACCCGGAGGTCANAAGACATAGCATAAGGTAAACTTTGAGAAGCTTGAAAACTGAGGCAGACAGTTGAACAAGAAGGAGGAATTTATTGCTGTTCACGCTGCACTGACTGATGTATTTATTCCCTTTTCCGTATCTCTTTTAGCTTGCATATTGGGACCTGTACCCGGAGGTCAAAGAGATATCAAAGAAAAAGGCAGACCACTCCAGACTGGTAGGAGGCTAATTTAATAAGCAAGGAAACTTACATATGAAGCTTGCCTTGGTGAGTTTGAGATAAGTACATTTTTCCATACCTACCTGACAGAGTCTCATATACACACATAAGTTTATATAGAGGCCTTAACGTGAATAATTAAGCATATATACCATCCAGAAGGTCTCAAAAACACATTGTTCTCTCAGAGCCTTGAAAATGGCTCCTATTGTGGGAACGGTGGGCAGATGTGCATTCCAAGGACAGGGGAGGGGTGAGGACCCTCTGATTGCCTGGGGCTGGCTCAAGGGTCAATCAACGGTCTCGCCCTCTCCATGACCTCCTCCAGCGATCCTCATAGTGGCTCTCACAATCTGGGGGGGCAGGATTGGTGTTCAGCAAGTTCAAACAAAGAGACTTCTTCTTTTCCTCTATTACATCAAATGTTGCTGTCTTTTTAGAGCTGCTTATTTCTTTCCTTTAACCTTTCTTTTTTTTTTAGTTTTTCCTCATATTTCTCTTCAATCTGGTAAATTTCTGAATGACAAAATAATCTGAGTCAAATCCAGTTGCATAGTCTTCAATTTTCTCAGAAAGCCTATGATCTTAGAGACCTGGATGAAGATTTTAGACAGAGACTGAGAGAGAATACGCCTTGTGGACAATGCAATTCAGGTTAATAGGAATTGGTGATGCTTGCAGTTCTAATTTGTTTTAGACCCGTCATCCTTGCTGTCTCAGAACACAGGTATAGAAGCATGGACGTGGGTTATTCCTTTTTATGACTGGGTAACATTCCACTATAAATGTGCACTGCATTTTGTTTACCCATTCATTCATTCATTAATAGACACTCGGTATGTTTCCACTATTCTGGCTGTTTTGGATAATGCTACCATAAACATTCATATACACATTTCTATGTGAACATATGTTTTCATTTCTCTAGCATATAAACCTAGGATTAAAATTGCTGGGTCATATGGTAACTTCATGTTTAGTGAAAACATTATGCAAAGTGGAAGCAGCCAGTAACAAAGACTACATACTATATGATTTCACTCATTCGAAAGTACAAAATAAAGAAATCTTTAGACAGAAATTATAGTAATGATGGCATAAGGCTGAAAGTAGAGAGGAGAATATAGGGGATAAAGGCTAAAGAGTGTGGGGTTTCTTGCTGAAGTGATGAAAATGTTCTAAAACTGACTGTGCTGATGGCTACACATGTCTTTGAATATATTAAAAATCAATACCCATGTAAACTAGATAGCTATTGGGAACCTGCTGTATAACATAAGAAGCTCAGCTCAGGGCTCTGTGATGACCTAAAGGGGCTGGATGGGGTTGGGGTGGGAGGGACGCCCAAGAGGGAAGGGAATACATGCATAGGTATGATTGATTCCCTTCATTGTACAGCAGAAATTAACACAACATTGAAAAGCAATTATATTCCAATTAAAAAAGGAAACATCAATCATAAAAGAAACTAAATACAAACAGCAACAACAACAACAACAAAAAAAAAACCCCAAAACCAACACATTGTATACTTTAAGTGAATTTATGGTATATGAATTATATCTCAATAAAGATATTAAAAATTAATGGGAAAGCATATTTTCATCAAACTAAAAAAAATTATGTGGGAGCCTTTTGGGAACCCTCCATTGGTTCAGAGCCCTCTACCTGGTTATTTCTTCCAAGAATCCTCCCTGATTGCCTAGGTTGGTGTGCATGACGCTCCTCTGTGCTGAGAGTTATCATAGCTCTTTCCACTTGCACTGAATTTCATGGTTTCATGGCTGTCTTCACATTAGATTGTTATCACTTTGGGAGGTGAAGTAATACCGTATTAGTAATTACTTCCCTAGGATCAAACACAGAGTTCAGTACATAGTGATAAAAAATAAACATCTTCAATGGATGAATACTTCAAATCATTTTTTTCTCACTGGAGAGTCAGAGAGTTTTAGTAAAGAAGCTAGATGTTTAACTTAGAATGTTTAATACGGAACTGCCTATTCATTTAAATGATGACTTTGACTTCTTTAAAGTGATACTTGACTAGCAAACTCCATATGCAGCCTCTTAAACTTACATCAAAGCACTTTTAGGGACACAGACAGAGACAAATATGCATACCATCATTTAATGGACACTTTTAGCTTAAAGGTTAAGAATTTCCAGTATTTATAAAATTGATATAACTGGGTAAGATAAACCAATTCACAAACAAATATCATTGGGTCCTATTCCTGAATCATCTCTTGAAGGACAATCCTACACATCTGAAGAAGTTAGGGAGGTTAATTTCTGTCTCACTCCTGTTGATTTAAAATTCTCCCATTTAGAACCCCAGGTTTTTGTCAGAGGACAATGAGCAGCTATCTCTTACTAAATGCTATGTCTGATATGCAAGATTGTCATTCTTCTCCCCATGCCCCCAGATGTGAAAATACCCATAAAGATTTAACAATTCTAAGGAAACATTAAAGAAATGGTTGGTACTTACCCTGTTACCCAAATATAACTGGGACAGTTTGTGGACAGTCTTAGAGACATGGTATGCCATTAAAAAGAACTAAACATTGATGTCAAACTGTCAAAAAATCATGTATATTTAGTGAAGTATTTTAAAGAGGCAACAAAAGGGAAATTACATATCAAGACTTCATAATAACCTTCTTTACCAAAAATTTCCTGAAGACCTTTTAGCAGGTACTCAGAGATATTTCCTCTTTTCCTCTCTATAAAATCTTTACAAAATTCTGATCTTTTCTATGAAGATGAAAAGACTTTTATAAGAAACCAAACACTTAAAACAAGTTATCTGTAAAGAAATAAAAATGAGGTTGGCCTCATACTTCTCTGTAAAAGCTAATGTCTGAAGTTCATGGTTATTCATCTTTATATTCTGATGGAGAAATCTTACATTAGGTGCTTCTGGAGGACAAAATAAAATCTTGTATCAGTTAGTTTAGGGTCACAGTTACTGTCACCTCTTTGCTTTTGTCTCTTTCACATTAAAGATTTCTTTGGTTATTGTGTGATCTTTGCTCACACTTCAACTTGAATTAAAAAAAAAAAGCTAATTGGAAAACATGAGCCACTGGGAGGAGGGGCTTGTAGCCTGTAAGATTAATCACAGGGAGTCTGAAGTAGCTTTTCAGAAAGCTTTTCAGAAACACTGAGTTCTAGGGCTGGTAAGGTTTTTCAAATAATATTTCCAATCTCTTCTCTAGAAGTTTAAAAAAAAAAATACCCTTGAAAATCTACAAGCCAAGGAGAGGATGAGGATTGACGTTTGGGGGCTCCTTTTCAAAAACTGGATGGGCTTTTTCCCATTTCCTCTGTTTTTAACACAATACTCCACCCTCAACTGGGCACTTCCTGCCCTTCTCAGAGAAGAATCTTCTGACTTCTGCTGGCAAGACAGCAGAGTACAGGAGACCGTTTCTCAGAATTGGGGTTAAAGATCTTAGAATTTAACTGCATCTTCAGAAGACTTTCCAATAATCAAGCTGTTTCCCAGTTACCCTCCAAACCCACTTCCAGGCCTGCACTGTGCTGTCCTTGCTGAGCCCTTTGGAATTTCTACGGGCTTCCCTGGTGTCTCAGCTGGTGAAGAATCCGCCTGCAATGCAGGAGACCTGGGTTCCATCCCCGGCAGGGGAAGATCCCCTGAGAAGGGAAAGGCTACCCACTCCAGTATTCTGGCCTGGAGAATTTCATGGACTGTGTAGTCCGTGGGGTCGCAAAGAGTCAGACAGGGAGTGACTTCGGAATTTCTACAGTCCATATTCCGTAGCTTTGTTGATTTCCTTTCTTCTGGCTCGGGTTCAGTTTCGTAGACGTCTGTGTTCATCCTTTACAGCTCTCCTGTCCATGATGTGTCACTGTCTCTCCTTTGAGTCATGTCCTTGTGAATTTCTTCATTTAAGAATCCCTTTTATCATGTCTTTGTGTTTAATGTTAGCAGTAAGTGAAATTAAGTATGCTTTACTGAAACCTAGTAATGAATTTATAGTTTGAAATTATCTTCTAATTACTAAGGTAAGTCCTAGTTTGTCATAACATATTGCTTTTGGATTACTTTGCTAATTTTCTTTGCTAAAATTGAACTTTTTTCATGATTTCCGTAAATGCTAATCCCCTACTGTCTTCCTGTCTCATATTATCTTGGTTTAGTTTTGAAATAAACTGAACTAGACTCAAAGTTATAGCATCATTTCCCATTTTTATTATTTGTAATATAATATAGAGGTATGTGTTCCGGATGTTTTAATTAAACAATTATAAGACCAACTGGAAAAAAAAGTTGCTTTTTTGAAAATACATAGATATATTATTACTGGCTACATTTATTTAATGGTCTTAGAGTACATTTATATTTTCTATTTCTTATCAAGTCAGTTTTGTTTATTGTATTTTCCCCTAGATGTACACACTCCATTTTGATCATAAACATTTAAACTTAAGAATTTTGATCATAAATGCTTATAAAATTCTTATGATTTTGTTTAATGCTCTCTGGATTTATAGTTATGCTTTCTTTACAATTTAATAGAGTTAACTTATGATTTCACTGGAGTTTCTTATTGGTCTTAGAAATTTAACTATATTACTAGTTCTCAAGAAAAACAATTTTTTCCATTGTCTTAAAAATCACTAATTTAATTGTATTTATTTTGTTCTACTTTCTTTGATTTCTTTCTTTTTTCCTTTAATTTCTTCAATTGAACACTTAAATCACTAATTCTCAGTGGGACCTGTATTGAAATATATGCATTTTGAACTATAAATTTCTTTCTAAGAAACATTTTTTTCCTGCATCCTCCAAGTTTTGTTACACAAGACTTGTGTTAACTCCTAAATATATATTAACATCTATTTTAATTTCTTCTATAATTTGCACATTTATAAATATATGTTCTATAGCTTTGCCTTTTTTGTATCTAATTACTTCTATTGTAATATGGTCAGAAAAGTCATCTCTGTGATTTTATTTACTCAGTATTTTTGAGATTTAATTTTTGGCCTGGTTGATGGTCAATTATTGAAATGTTTAATATTTTACTAAAATAATGAACTTTGGTGTAATAGTTTCTGAAAGATCTCTGCTATGATTTTAAACATTTCAATATCAATGTTCAATTTGGTCAGTGTTCACTCTATAAATCTGGGGAAATATAAAACTACAGAGAATTTGTGTATTGCTGATGCAAAACTATAAAATATTTTAAATTATACAACAAAAACAATAGAATTAAATGTTTATTATACACAGTAGATACTATTAAATGTAAATTAATAATTTTGAATCTATATGGTAAGAAATTGTTTCTTTTATTGTCAACAATAGCTTTATTTATCCTTAATAAATCTTTTATCTATATTATATGATAAAGCTACCACAGATTTATTTTGGTTAATAATTTCATAGTTTCTTTTTCTTTTCTCTATATTTCAACCTTTTGGTAACTACACTTTTGGGATTTGGGTTTCAGCAATAAACAGGTATATTCAAATTGAGAAAATTTTTACTTTTCTGGTAAATATATTGATTCTGGCATTTAAAAAAAATGACTATTTATCCTTAATAAAGCTTTTTGCTTAAAGTCTGTATTGTTTGTTATTTAATCTTAGAGTTCTACCTCATTTTTAAATCACTCATATTATTTATTATTGTGATTGATTTCATGGTCAGTGTATTTATAACTTCCCACATATTTCACCCAGGTGGAAACCATTGCATCTTTCTGTAATTTTCCCTTCAAGTGACATCCATTCATTTTTCTACTCATTCTTTCACTGAAAAGCTGTGATGGCAAATATTCTCAGAATTTCCCCCCAAATGGCTTTATTTGATTTTCTTCTTATAGTAAGTTAAACTCTGAAATTCTATGTTGTGAGACTATTTTCTCTTAGTACTTTGGATATATCTTTTTTATTATTTTCTGTACTTTATAATTGTCTCAGTATTCTTTTTTTAAAAGTAATGTCTTTTTATAAATTTTTTTTTCAGAATTTGTTTTGCTTTCATTTTCTTTTACTTTACTATAACATTTATTGAAGTCTATTTTATTTATTCAGTTTTCAGTTCAATGTGCTTCTTTAAGTTGAGGACTCACATTCTACAATTCTGTAAAAGTTTCAGTCATTTGTAATTGCTAGTCATCTTTGCAATTTCCCTGTGCTGATAAGTGTGATGTCCTGTCCACACTTACCTTTTCCCACTGCCAACTTTGTGCAAGGATTTTCATTTCATTTCTCCTCTTTTATAGGTCAGAGACAAAATTTCATGTCCTACTTGGGTGTTGAAACCCTACCTCCTACCATTAAGTCCATATCTATATTATTAACCAAGTATTTCCCTTTCTGCATTCTCTCCATCCATCCTTTCTTCCTCTTTGCCTTTCTTTCTTTCTGAGGGGGAGCAAAATGCACTACCCCCAAATATGCCACTTTGGCATGTTGACTATTTTGAATTAAAGTTACTTAAGAAATAGCCAATGCAGGAAGGACATTCCAACCTTCCTTTATCCTTTGAAAGCATGAAATAAATCTCCCATGTGAAGGTATTCTGTCTATAGCTTATCACCAGAGATAGGAAATCCAAGGACAAGAACACTGTACAAAAGAACTTTGTTACTTCATTAATTTGCTACTCCAAGCCTCAATCCTTTTGTCAAATCTTCACAAATAATTGATTCTTTTTCTAAAATGCATGAAAGCTGCCTGCTTTGGTCACTTCTTTGAGGCTCATATTTTTATTAACTTCTGTATTTACAGCAGTGAACTTGTTTTTCTCCTGTTAATCTGTCTCAGTTTATTAGACCAGCCTAAGAAACTAGACTCCCGGGAAAA